ATATACAAAAGGCAAATCATTGGTTTCAAATGGAAAGAAACAATTCTCATGAAATGATTAAATCAACGCATGAAAAATTTGACATTAATGATATTGTGAAAAAATTGTTAGATGATAATAGATATCAATTAACATGGTTTCCTTATAATGAATTTAAAAATATCAAAGAAATCGGAAATGGTTATTTTGCAACTGTATATAGTGCGACATGTACAAAACGAACTAAAGACTATGCTATAACTGAAACATTCGCACTTAAAAAAATTCATGATCAAAATTATTTAGACGAGGTATTTATTGTCATTTTTACTATTATCTTTTATTATATATATATTTTATTATATACAATTTATTAAAGATATACCCTCTTAAAGCTGAAAGCGTATTGTGAAATCGGATACCAGAATCCTTCATTTTTAAAATGTCATGGTATATCAAGAGATGAAACTGGAAAATATATCCTTGTTTTAAAATATGCAGAGATGGGTTCTTTAAATAAAAATCTTAGTTCTATAGCAAAAATGGGATGGAAAGATAAATTGAAATTGTTATATTGCATAACTTCTGATCTTGTAGCTATCCATTCCCAAGGATTCGAACATCGAGATTTGCATAGTGGTAATATTTTACAAGATGATTTATGTAGCGCATATATCGCCGATTTAGGACTTTCTAAAACAAGTAAAAAGTTCGGTGTTGAACACTACATCGCTCCAGAAATTTTGATAGATCATAAAATGTTTACACCAGCAGCTGATGTATATAGTCTTGGCGTTATTATGACAGAAATATCAATCGGAAAACAAGCTTTTGAAGGTTTAGAATTTATTCCTGAAACACCTGACTGTTATGTTAGATTAGTTAAAAGATGCATGGATCCAAATCCTAAAAACCGACCTACTGCAAAAGCTATTAATTTTCAAATTGGATTTTGGATCGAAGAAGTGTTAAATTCTAATGAAGACAATGAAATTAAAAGGCAATTTTTAGAAAATAATAACACGTCACAAATAACGAACACAAACAAAAATTCATCTCTGATGAGTAAACCCGTCGACACCATCGATATTTTAGAGTAAAAAAGAAACAAATTTATTATATTTTTTTAAATTTAACATTAATAACAAAGATCGTTGAAGCCAGGTGTGTTAATTGATAATGAAATTTACAATCAGTGTTTAAAATTCGTTGATCTCAGTGTTCTCTGAGAACATGTAAAAATATTTATGAACATAAATTTGAGAACATTTAACAATTTTTTTTAATATTAAAAAATTTTTGACTTTCTAATTTTGAGAACTTCAAAAAATTTTTGAGAACATTAAGAATTCAAAAAATGTTTTTTGAGAACATAAAATTAAATTTGAATTTAAACACCGCTTACAATACAACTTACGTTATAAATAAATCATTTGATGTTAATTTCACGATAAAACTTTGTACCGAATTGCATCCAGAATTTCTCCTGAATCACCCAATTGTTATGTTGAATTAGCAAAGCAATGCATGAATCTTGATCCACAAAAATGACCTAGTGTTTGGCATATTAGTCATCAATTTATTGAGTGGAAACAAATTATGAAAAGTTCAAATGGTAATAAAATTACAAAGCAATTCTTGAAAGCCGATGAAATGATCAAAATCGTGAAGCACAAACATCCGGATCATATTTACGCAAGATCACCGAAGAATTAACATCGATAGTTGGAAGCAAACCTTTAGAAAATGTAATAATCGGAATATTTCATGTAATGAGATTTTTTCGATAAATTGAATACTTCATATAATTAGATATTTTTGATAGTATACCCCAAAGTGGAAGCAACTCAAACATAAAATCTTCCACTTATGAATGTGCAAAGTCCTCCGCGCATTAATGTAGGAGAAAATCTTCTACTCATGAATGTGGAAGAACATATGAAATCTTTTACACAGTAGATATAACCCAAATTAAGTGGGCTTAATATCATTATATTCAACCCACTCGACACGTTCGGATTTACCATTACATTCGACACACAAAAAAGGATGAATCTATTTGTCACTGCCGGTTACAGTCCCAAGCCAATCAAATTGCTTAAAATTATGCGATTTAATACAAAAGTTTCCTTTTATCAACATATAATGTTAACAACTTATGAGAAACCTTAAGTCGCAAAAAATAAAAATATCGATTATCCTAAACAATTCTCAAACTCAGAATCGATTTGATTTAAAGAGAATCGATTCCGAACATTAGTGATTAAACAGTAGACATATGATAAGTGATAACTACTGTATTTGACTCACATGTCTGTGGTAAAAGTCACAATGAACGGACCTTTATAATCCGAATAAATAAGTTTATTTTGAAGTTTAAATTAGTTCATATAATGAACATATCTATAAGTATGTTTAAATATATTTTACATTAATTTAGTTAACGAGCTCAATAACGATGGCACTAGCACCACCACCACCATTACAAACTCCAGCACAACCAATTTTTCCACCTTTATGTTTTAACACACTAATTAAAGTGCAAATAATTCTTGCCCCGCTGCATCCTAATGGATGTCCCATTGCAACAGCGCCTCCAAATACGTTAACCTTATCTTTGGGTAAGTCAAGCAATTTCATATTTGCCAATGCTACCACAGAGAATGCTTCATTGATTTCGAAATAATCAACTTGATTAATCGGAATATTACCGGCATGTTTTAATGCCTTTGGAATTGCGAGTGAGGGAGTCGTAGTGAATTTTGCGGGTTTCTTATAAATTATCAATGAGACACAGGAAGATAATATTAGCATAATAGATTAATTGTACTCTATATAACTTAAGATTAATTCCTCTATTTACAGTGAAGAAACTTTACCTGCGCCGCATCTCCCCATCCAGAAATTTTAGCAATTACTTTAACACCTAATTCACGAGCTTTTTCACCGCTAATTAAAACAACAGCAGCAGCACCATCACTCAAAGGTGAAGAATTGGGCGCAGTCACGGTACCATTCTCACTTTTGAATGCTGGACGCACTGTACGTAGCTTATCAGCATTGAGCTAAATATAGGTTAGAATTTCGTTAGTTATATACTGTAAATCTGTATCATAACTTATTATACATGGTATGAAATTAAAAAATTTTTTACATTGGTAATTTCATCATCTTGAGTAATCACTTTATCAGGCTTGCCTTTACCACCTGATACTTTTACAGGAACGATTTCATCTGCATAACATTTGTCTGCAAACGCTGCTTGAGCGCGTTGATAAGAGGAAATGGCAAAATCATCCTACTCAAAATCATCAATTAAGCTCTTCAAACATCTTAGCTAAAAAAAAATTTTTACTCATAATTATTCTTAATTAAACATACTTGTTCCTCTCGACTTATACCATGATCAGTGGCGCATTCTTCGGCCGCCATACCCATAAGATAATCATTATATACATCTGTTAAACCATCTTTAACAATCCCATCTACCAGTGTTTGATCTCCATATTTATATCCAAACCTTGCTTTTGGAACGTAGTATGGAGTATTTGTCATAGATTCGCAACCACCTGCAACAATAATCTAAAAAAAAGATTCATATAAAGATTAGCATTTTTTTTTTATGATGAAATTTCTCATTACAAATTATAATTACAAATTATATAAATGGCAACCTACGTCGGCACAGCCGGTTATAATCGTCTGAGCTCCCAAAATTACGGCCTTCATCGCCGATGCACAAACCTTATTAACAGTTGTAGCAATGACTGTGTCCGGAATACCAGCTCCTAATGCAGCTTGACGAGCAGGATTTTGACCTTTCAGAATTGAATTATATTAGTTGGTAAATAATTATTAAATAATTAAATTATATTAATTGGTAAATAATTATTAAATAATTAAATTATATAAGTTGATAAATAATTATTAAAATAATTAAATTATATTAGTTGGTAAATAATTATTAAATAATTAAATTATATTTGTTGGTGAATAATTATTAAATAATTAAATTATATTAGTTAGTAAATAATTATTAAATAATTAAATAACATTATTTATTGTTTATGATTATTTTTACCGAGATTGGCAGAAAGGACATTTCCAAAAAAGACTTCCTCTACGCTATTAGGGTCAATGTTTGCTTTTTTTAAAGCGGCTACAAAATTAACATATTCTCAACTTTTGTTGTTATACTCCCATATAAAAAATTTGTGTATTAATAATTAACTATCAAATATCACCTTCAATAGCAATTGAACCTAATTTTGTAGCGCTTAGAGAGGCCAATGAACCATTAAAACCACCAAGTGGAGTTCTTGCGACTGCAGCAATATAGACGTCTAATAATGGAAGGAAAAAACATACAATTTAACAAAATTTCAATTTATGTAATTATGTTTAAAACGAACCTTTTTTGGTAGCCATTTTTATTTCAACGGTATGAAGAAAGCTACACACATAAATGTGGCTATTTTATCATTTTTTGAATTCGAAATTTTGGGGCAGTTTTTTTTTTAAGGTTAAAATTCTATCCGGTTGATTGTCGATCTTCTTCAGTTATAGTAACACCTGGATCCGGATTAAGGTCAATAGCTTGAACGTTAAGTCGATAATCAAATCGATAGTGTCAATTAATATTTCAGGAATTTAATTAACTTTAAAAAAAGATACATTAGCATTAGCGTATTTGGTTATATTCTAGACGAAATTATTTTGTATTACATCGATTTTTGTATTTATATTAAATCTAATTTAGGTTTAGTTCCTAACTCTAAACTTAAATCGGATTGAATTTAAGAACTATTTAAGTATTTTGGAAATTTGCTTTGCACAATCCTTAGCTCCAACAAATAATTGCCTATATGGGGGTGTTACGTATTAAACCAGCCCGTTTTTACATATAACAATTTTGTGTAAATCAATTTTAATAATCTACAAATTGTAACACATAACATTTTGTAAATCTTTTTATTATACTTACAGCAAACTTTTCTATACCAGAAACTTAGTAATGAAATTACGAAGCGTATGGTTAGGCGAGACCAACTTGATTCTGTGTTTTACATTACCCTCCCCCAGCGCCCCCCTCTCCCTCATAGTAAAAAAAAATTAGATAGGGCTTCGGGCTATTTCGGAAAATTTTTATTTAAGCACGGAACAATTCGGAAAAATTGTCGAAGAAAAATTTTACTATGTAAACCGGAGAGGGTGGTATTGTAAAACACAGAATCAAGTTGGTCTCGCCTTACTATTCAATATGGCTAACATACTTACCTGAAAGGCTGCCTATCCTATACCAAACTAGTGAACCATATTGTGAAGGTTACTATGCGATAAGAAAATCTTTTGATCCGCAAAAGTTCATTTACATTCGTAGAAAAAAGTTAAATGACTTTTAAAATTGGCAAAAGCAGTCATAATGTTTACATGCAAGACGCTAAGAGAATTGTTATGATAAATTTAGACCCTTTATTGTAATATTTTCAAAATTTGGATTCTTATATGTAATTATTTTCACTTTAGGCTCTTGTTTATAATTTTTTCATTCTGGCCCTAATATGTAATTTTTCCCATTTTAAATTCGAAAAGCATAGGTACGATTGGTCATGTGATTGGAAGAATGCCGGCTAGCCAAAGGAGCCGGAAATAAATTCAAT